GTAGACACCTTTCCCATTTTTTAGTTTCTTCTGCTATTAGACATTTAAAAAATCTCCTGGGATAGGAGACTTATAGGTGATGAGGCTGCATTGCCCTAGTTTGCCCTTTCTCATTCTCTTCTCACACATGGGGAGCATGGAAAATAAGCCACGAATACAATCTGTATGCTCTATACTCTTCTCATCATGCACCGGGCCCCTAGTATATATATAAAGCCTAAGCAACCATTATGACCAAATGATTGAACTGGTCAACCAGTCACTATGCCATGCACTGACCACCAGGGGACAGATGCGCAACCCAGGAGCTGCCCCCTGGTGGTCAGTGTGCTCCCACAGCCAGAATCCCATGGTCCCCATCCCCCCAACCCCTTGGCTGGCTAACCTCCTGCAGTCCCTCTGCCCCCACCCCCACTCCCTCCCCACCCCTCAGGGCCTGCTGGCCCTGGTTGCCCCAATAGGGACTGGGTGAGACAGCTCCGATCAGCCCCGATCACCAGCCAGGCCAAGGGACCCCACCCATGCACGATTCATGCACTGGGCCTCTAGTAGTGTATATAAAATGGCTTACATTGTGTCAGGAGCATAATAGTTGCCCAATACATGGTATCTATTTTCTTTGTTGTCATCATAGTTTGTGGTTATTGTTGTTACCTGTAAATGAAGCTAAATATTGTAATGATGGACCTCATTCAATCTTCATGTCACACTCCTTTTGGGGTAACTACATTTCCCAGACTACTTTGTTCTTAGAGTCTGGATGCCAGGCATGTTTCACCAATTAGAGGCAATCAAGTAAGAACTGGAGGATGGAATGTCTTCCTGTTGCTGTTTATTTTGGCAAACAAAATCACAGAGCTATGCGTGGCACGAGGCAGCAGGGGCCATGGTAGAAGCAGCTGCTTGACCTCCAGATCACAGCTGCAGTAGATGACTCTTGATATCAATCAACAGTGGCCCTGACTTCCACTTCTCCAACCCTTCCAGTGACTTTGTAAGCATCTAATTCCTGTATTAGCTCCTTTATGTTTAAATACCTAAAATGGTAATTCCTTTTTCTAGAAATGAATCCTGACTGATTCACAGATGGATGTCTCATGTAAAGAAATTTCATATATAAACTTATCTGAAAGAATTTATGTCATATTGCTGCCTCAAACTTTCTTAGATTTAAATAACGTGTTAATTCTATTTAAACCAGTTCAGTGTTCTCTTTATTGATGCCATTCACTTTGAGAGCTGTTGACATGACACAAAGTTTCCTGGAATACGGAACAGCTAACGCTGTATTTGTATATCATGTTGAAAGGCAGAATATATTTTTGTGATAATCATAATGCATCCATTGTATTCCTTTATATTTAATTTTATTGAGAAAATGACCCCTGGGATAGTTTTGCTTCCTGATATCAATTCTTCCTTTCTTTTTTAGTATTAAGAACCCTAATTTTTAACTGGGTAGTTGGAGGCACTACTACGAGCTAAAATATCTCCCCACTCTCTCCTAAAGCCATATGACTTTCCCATAGCCATATGACTAAATTTTGGCCAGTTAAATGTAAGAAAAAAATGTTTTCTGTAACTCCCTAGAAAGTGTCTTCAGAAGGAGAGCACTGACTCTTCTTTGCCCCTTGCTCTTCCCTGTTGGTTGGAGTGAGAGTGTGATGATAGCACTGACAGCCATCTGGGGTCATGAGGTAATATGCAGATCATGTCAAAGGAAAAGAGAATATGCCCTGAGAACAATTTGCCACATAGGTCTGGATTGTGCACCTCCAGATTTCTTTTACATAAGAAAAAATAATAACCTCTAACTTTTCAAAGTCACTGTTATTTTGTTGCTGTTCTATTATAACTTATCCCTAATTACCATAAGGGGAACAGCCAAACTTCTTCCCTTCATATCAACTATGGACTGTTTCTCAGTCTCTAAAAACAGGAGCATTCTCAAAAGTTGCTCAACTACTGCAACACAAGAAGGCATGCTGCCAAAATGTTGATCTAGGTTTAAAATTAAAGACATAAAATGATTTCTCTGAGGACAGATCAGTGTATGCAGCAGCAAAGTTTGTAAGCCAGATGAAGCTTTGACTTACTAATATTATTTTCAATATCAAGTCAATGCACCAATGTTAGGTTGAGTAAAAGGCAAGTCCTTCACCCTAGCTGATGGTCCACTAGGACTAGGGTTATTGACCCAAAATGGCTGAGTTTTTGTTCAAACTTGCCCTCTGCTGTTCGTTGTGTGACTACTATACCACAGTTGACAGCCTATCCAATGACATAATCTGCTTTGCAGCTCGGTATTCCAGAGCCCATAGATCAGAGGGTTAAAACACTGGCCAAATGAAAAGACTCCAAAAAGCACCAGATT